ACTTCTAAATCGTCTTCAACCTACGCTGAATTCCTGATGTGAATAAGATAATGATAACAATACAAATGTTATGGTGTCCTCATAATCGGTTCTTATGTATATCTTCAAAATTTCATTTCATTTTATAATATATCATTAAAACGTTTAATTTTCCCGTCGTGTTGTATTTACAATATAGGTACTGTATACCACATTATGGAAATCTTAAAAGTCGCAAATAATTTTTATAAGGACTGTACAGTGTACAGTGTACACGTAATTTAAATTAACTCCATTTAAAAAGAATGGTATGTCCGAATCACAACGGTACCCTTTACATTTTTTCCTGACCAAAACTGTTAAATATTTACTTGCTTTTCTAACTATACATCAATATAATTTGGGATTTGTGCAGCAGAAAGAAACGTTGAAATATTCCTCATTGTTTCTCAGATAAAGGTATAAGGGTACCATTGTGAATGGGTTATGCAACACTTTAAATTCACATTAAATTAGGCCCAGAGTCACATAAATGTTAAATAATTGTGAATTGTTCCTTGAAACTAAAGATATTGAACTATAATCCATTCTTAGGCCTACAACCTTCAACATCAGTTCATGTACAACCCGTTTTACATACAACACAGGTACATGGTTTACATAGTGTACACGTAAATGATTTACATAGTGTACAAGTACATAGTCTACATAGTGTACAATGTAAACTTACATAGTTGAAAAAATGTGTACACGTACATATAGTCTATATAGTTTTCACCCTGTACTTTTGTATAATTTACAAAGTGTAAGTTGTACAATTACATAGTTTACAAAGTGTACACGTACATAGTTTACAAAGTGTACACATACATAGTTTAAATAGCGAGTGTACAGGTACATAGTTTACATAGTGTACATGTACATATATTACAAAGTGTACACGTACATAGTTTATATAACTAGTGTAGAGGTACATAGTTTACATTGTGTACACTTACATAGTTCATATAGTGTACACGTACAATGTTTGCATAGTTAGTGTACAAGTATGTAATCTGATAATTGTACAGAAAAACAATCTGAATATTTTACAGATACATAATCTGCAAATGTGTGTGTGTACAAAGTTTGAAAGTTAAGAAAGTGTATATATCGTTATAAAACCCATGAATTAGTATGATTTGATTGTCAATATTTGTATAAATGGGAAAATAAGGAAAGGCTAGGAGGGGTTAAAAATGTTTCGCCCCTCCCAACTTACTTACATGTAATGTATTGTACATATAAATAATTTTGTAATGTACAGACTACAGGTATATGAGACCAGTGCACAAGAATACATGATACTATTTATAAAAACATGTATTGTAAACATTAAATAATTGTACAATGTACAGGTGTAAGAGACCAGTGCACAAGAATACAGAATAATATTTAGAAATACATGAACTATACACTATGAATAATTGTACAATGTACATGTGTAAGAGGCCAGAACACAATAATACAGAATAATGTTTAGAAATACATGTACTGTACACTTTAAATAATTGTACAATGTACAAGTGTATGAGACCAGCACACGAGAATACAGAATAATATTTAGAAATACATGTACTGTACACTTTAAATAATTGTGCAATGTACAGGTGTATGAGACCAGTAAACAAGAATACAGAATAATATTTAAAAATATATGAACTGTACACTTTAAATAATTGTACAATGTACAGGTGTATGAGAGCAGTACGCAAGAATACAGAATAATATTTAGAAATACATGTACTGTACACTATAAATAATTGTACAATGTACAGGTGTATGAGACCAGTACACAAGAATACAGAATAATATTTAGAAATACACCAATAACAACTACAATTTCAAATACAAGGTAAGTTAAATAAAATGGTGTAAGATTTAAAAATGTTATAATACGTGCAAAGCATCGTCTCTCGAATGCATAATTCATCACCCTTGATGTCTGAAAGGACGTTTTTTTACTAAACTAATGTTCTGTTTTGATGTTCATGTATTTTTTATTCTCGTGCGATGACAACAAATCTTATCAAACTTGATTTTTTAGAAGAAAAATGGTTGAGATATTTGTAACTATAATCAAGAATTTGTTTCGCAAAACTTCAAGATTACATCTTTTACAATTTTAAAGTAGAAAATACGTTTTGATATTTATTTACATTGCCCTTTCTCAAGTTTCTCAAGAATCGGAAGCTAGTTTTAATTTCATTCTATTTGTCTTACTAGAGCTGGGAACTTTAGACAGCCTTATCCGAAGATCTAATGTGGATACTTTTATTTTCTTGCTTAATCCACTCTTTTTTGAATAAAGTACAGAAAAATCAAAAACCGGTTTTTCAAAATTATATTAATCTTAAATGGCGCGCAAAATTTCAAATTTCCCGGCTTCTGATACGGGACTCTGATTGGTTGAATTTTATACACTTTTCAGGATACAAGTACAAGATTATGTTAGTCTCGAGATTAAGAAAAACAGAGGATTAAGAATTGATCTTGATATCCACCATTCTAAAGTTCTCTGCTTAGCTTAGATACCCAGCTTTGCCAGTAAACTGAACGTGTTTCCTTTTAAAAGTCAGTCAACTCAATTGAGATCTTTTAAGCCAAGCTAAGAACATTCCAGTAATTCTACCAATATTCAAATCAATTTTTTATTTTTAATTGGACTCCAAACATACAGACAGACATCAAGATGGTCTAACAAGAAGAGATTACTACTTTATATATTTAGATAAATGGCTGTTAATATGTTTATTATTTAGATTGGTTGAGACTGTATTAACTTCCTACACAACTATAGAAGAGATTACTACTTTATATATTTAGATAAATGGCTGTTAATATGTTTATTATTTAGATTGGTTGAGACTGTGTTAACTTCCTACACAACTATAACCCAAACCCTAAATCCTGGATATCCACAATTAACAAATATTCTGGGATAAATTAAATTAAAGTTTATTATGTTTTCCTCAATGTTAGTCTAAAACAAATCCTATTAATAATTATGTTGGAGGTATATTTATCCCATATCATCAGTTTTCAACTTACAAGTTTTTAAAGATATTTTACATATATTTCTTAACATTTTTCTATGCTTGTTAAAATGAAAAATCTTATTACAAATGTTTCCAAAAATCTTATATTTGAAGTTTAATTATTATTTGCAATTTGCAAGTTCCATTGTAATTGTTTAAGTAGATGTAGTATGTTCACATATTACACAGATTGGACAAAAATGGTAACTCACATTTTATTTATTTGGGGAGTGACACACGACCGCACTAATCTAAAGGTTGCAGGCTCACACGCAAAAATAAATCAGAATTTTGTTAATTACTTAATAAAAAATGAAGCTAAAAAGGTTATTTAAAGCTTAAAATTTACAATGTACATGTCTGGGGGTTATAAAGTGGGTTACATGCAGTGTTGCAACACTTCAAAGTCGACACCTTTTCTAATTTTTCTTAGTATTTCAAGTTAAACTATTTAAAATTCCCTGACTTAATTAAATGATTAACTGTCTCGTCCTATCTGTTTAATCTGTGTTTATATTGAATTTAATAACCCCACAGAGAGGTGTGTATGTAACTAAGATGCCAAATATTCCGCCAAAAATGAAAATTCTGAATACTAAGCCAAGACCAAAAATGACAATTAAGCTTATTTTTTCACAGAAGTGAAAGTACAGAGCGCCCCACATCATATTGGATTATCTCCAAGCTTTAACGCAAAAATACGGACATAATACTAGAAAAGCTTGGTATTTTCTGCATGCAAATTTTTATATTAGGCTTAAACAATTTCTTTTAATGATTCATTCTTTTTAAATTTCTGAAGCGCAATTTAGAGCCATAACGATCTGAAATGATGTGGGACACCGTGTTTTTGACGATAGCTGCTCAAAAATTTTAATTATATTTTTATGGCTTCAGTAAAGCTTTTCAATTTCTAATCTGTAAATCTTTGCAACCTGATGAAGTTGAAAGATTTCCAAAATTAGGTTGCAGAGATTTAAGAATTAGAAAATAAAAGTGTGTGTGTCGTTTAATTTCTTCGTTAAGTTCACTTTTTAACAAAGAAAACTTATGGAATTGGGTACATTTAAAGCTTTGAATAAGAATTTGAACCAAAGAAATATAAAATCTAAAAAGTAGTGTTTTAGTAATTTTTGTTAGAATAAATGTAAAAATTGTCAAAGCATATTTCCGTCCCTTCTATGATCAAGAATGTCACGAATTCTACAGTTTTGTTAGTTAAACAATAATTGATTGATTTCAAAATTAGCATCAATTGTTAATGGGGCATTTCTTCTTTTTCAAATTCTTCCGAATATGTTTTTAAATTTGCTATTGTTTGAAGAAATAAATGTAAAAAATGATATAGCATGATGTTTCATTAAACTCTATCATATTTAATTTTAAATCTTTTAACTTTAAAACATCTTATCCATGGTTTAAAGTGGTCAAAATCTTTTAGATTGTACAATGTACATTGAACATAAATATATGTTTTGTAAAAATTGTAAATTATTATGTTTTTATCGCCATTTTAATTGTTCTAGTCTAGAATACAGTAAATAAATAACATTTTTTAAATTCTAAATAAATCAAATCCTCTCTGAAACATTATTTTCATGAGACAAGGAAAAAGATATATTGAGACTATACTCTGGGATGAGATTAAATATATATCTGTAAACAAACCATTTTAAAGATTGTTATTCAGTAAAAATACAAATAATGCTTAGTATATGTTGATGAGGAATAAAACAATCCTCTAACTACTCCCTACCGATTCACAAGGTACCTTTAAAACCATTATTATATCGTGGAAGATATCATCATTTTTCTAGCTTGAAAAGTGTTTAATTCTGATAATCATCTAAATTGTTGCTGTAAGCAGAACTCACAATTTAGATAAATAAATTTCAAATTAAAACATGGATAGCTAATTCATTATTCAACAGACAAAGCTTTACAGTGTACTGTTGTAAATTGGGCCTTTGACTCTTTAGATGAAGGTTTATGCACTTGAATTACGTATACAACTCTTTGAAGCAAAATATATAACCCCCTTGAAGCAAAATATACAACCCCTTGAAGCAAAATATACAACTCCTTGAAGCAAAATATACAACCCCTTAAAGCAAAATATACAACCCATTGAAGCAAAATATACAACCCCATGAAGAAAAATAAACAACCCCTTGAAGCAAAATATACAACCCTTTGAAGCAAAATATACAACCCTTTGAAGCAAAATATACAACCCTTTGAAGCAAAATATACAACCCCTTGAAGCAAAATATACAACCCTTTGAAGCAAAATATACAACCCTTTGAAGCAAAATATACAACCCCTTGAAGCAAAATATACAACCCTTTGAAGCAAAATATAAAATCCTTTGAAGCAAAATATACAACCCTTTGAAACAAAATATTCAACCCTTTGAAGCAAAATGTACAACCCTTTAAAGCAAAACTTTACTAATTTTTCTCATCAAAGAGCAAAAAATCAAACAGCTTTTTTTTATAATATTTATTTGTATATTTAATCTTGATTTAAACTTGTTTTTATCTGCAGTACAATACCGTCCCGTCCCCCTGCGTACATAAATCCAGAGATGGAACATAAACAAGTAATGTAACTCTCAACCTACGGTACATGAAAAAATAAAGTGATTTTCATAAAATGTTAAAAAGATACTAAAGATAATATAAATTAATAATTGCCGCATTACGGATTGGAAACTTAATTCTATGTACTTACAATTTAATAGTTTTAAAATTTACCAGTTTTTTTGGTTTCAAGGCAACCAAAAAAGGTTCCAATAAAGACGACATTCTTAATTTACCTGTATTGAGTCCGCTAATTCATAACAGTTCCCCTCGTTCAGTCGCTAAATATAGTTTTTATTATTGTCTTAGAATATTCATAAATCCTATTTAGTCATTTGATCAGTTAGTGGATAGAGAGAAGGAGAAGGTGAATGGTATCGACATTACTGGAACATTACTGGAACATATTCCTGGAACATTACTGGAACATTACTGGTTCATTACTGGAACATTACTGGAATATTACTGAAACATTACTGAAAAATTACTGGAACATTACTGGAACATTACTGGAACATTACTGGAATATTACTGGAACTTTACTGGAACATTACTGGAACATTTCTGAAACATTACTGGAACATTACTGGAACATTACTAGAACATTACTGGAATATTACTGAAACATTAATGAAACATTACTGGAACATTACTGGAACATTACTGGAACATTACTGGAATATTACTGGAACATTACTGGAACATTACTGGAACATTACTGGAATATTACTGGAACATTATTGGAACATTACTGGAACATTACTGAAACATTACTGGAACAATTACTGTAACAGCTTGATAAGTTTATTCCTGTACACTTTATTTGCCCAATGTCCGTGCGGTACAGTACAAACTGGGACCGGAAAGGTTGACCCAGCTCGGAAATTCAAATGTACAACGGCTGCCGTGGTACACGACCAAATAGCAGACATATATGATATATCTTTAAGGATAATTTATTATCCTTTGGAAATAAATTACAAAACTTTCAAAAATTTATTAATCCGTGAGTTTTTTGATTATTTGTTAAAAGTTAGAGTTAAAAATCTTAAAACTTAACCCCTGAATGGGTATTATGTACAACAAATGGCGGTTAGATGCCAGCCATGAAACATATTATGATATTGAAGAAATATAACATGCCGTGACGGTTGTGCAAATTGCAATGTGCATAGCTTACCCAGAATTTGATAGCTTTATCCCAGCCAGCTGTAGCTAGATAGTTTTCTTCCAATAGTATCATACTGTTTACTATCATATCATGACCCTTTAATAGTTATTATTATTATCATTATTATTATCATTATTATTATTATTATTATTATTATTATTATTATTAAATTCATTACCCTAAGCTCTTGAAGGTTAATCCAATTGTTGTTTCCCTTTCCCCACACCTGAACCTGAAAATTGTATAGGTCGTATCAACAAATTTTTTGTATTCGATCAAATATCCGCTAAAATACACAAAGAGTTGGTGTATATTTCTGACAGAATTGAGATTGGTAAGATAGTATTTTTGGGTTTTATATAAACCTTGCCTTCCTACTTCCTTGCCCAGGAACATTTAGACCCATGGTGGTTTCCAATCTTTGTCTATGTTTTAACTAGTTCCAATATGCAGATATTTCAATGACGACAATCAGAAACGCTTTGATTGAAATGGAATTTGAAAATTAAATTTTATGGAATGAATTGGCATTTAAAAAGAAACATATTAGAGATGAAGCAACCATAAATGAAAGGTATAGTATCTTATAAGTTTAAATTAGTTTTGTAGTCTTCAATTGTAAATATTACAATTTTCTGAGGTTTTAAGGTCAACTGATTTTTTGCTACGGGGCCTGCCTGAATTATTGAATACATGTGAATTAAATTGCATAAAGAAGAACTAACCTCTAAGTACATCTAGATCTATCCTTTGAATAACTACAAACTCCGAGTTGAAGTGTTTAATCTAATTTAGATCAAACTTGGATTAATGAGTTAATCTAACCTTCTACCAAAGGAGAGGGGGGAAGGCACGCCGTACCCATATAGCTTACTCATATTGCAATTCCTATCCGCACCAATATGTCTTCCGGGAAAATGTCTTTATTTTTAAGAATGGATCAATAAATAAAAATGAAGAAAAAATGTATGGGAGCATTTTTCTCGGGAGTGGGGGGGGGGAGTATAATTTCATAGCCGCCCCATGAATCATGTGACAATTGAATTTAGTTTTTAAAATTTAAACATCTTTATCTTATGAAAATTCAATGATCTTATAATTTCGAGCTCGACGTCAAACATTTTGTTCTTCATTCTTTTAGTTTAGGGATGTGCATTATGCACATCTGCAAATATAAGCAGCACAAAGCTCTGGGCCGAATTGCACTGAGGCTGCTTCAGCTGGTGTAAAATATATGATGACGTCACCTGCCCCGGCTGTGACGTCACTGCACCAGTGTAACGATCACGCACCAGAGCGCGCATGTAAGCATACCACGGAGGAAAATATTTTAAATGTATAAAGTCAGCAATCACGAAATATCTTGGTTAATTTCGGAAATATATAAATTTACTATCAATCAAAATCAATTATATTTTTCTCTCATTTCTTACGGAAAATAATAAAAGATTTGTTTTTTATATTTATATCTTATATCAAGTATAGCTCGTACAAATTAAACACACAGAGACACCTAGCGGCAATAAAGTGCTAAACTTAATTTCTATTTATCCCCCACCCGGGCCCTGGTTCGTCTAACAGTCTTTAATATGTCACCTACAGGGTGTTCCTGTAAACATGAGAATTGAGAGACGTTGCATGCGCGAAGTCGTCTTTGTTTTAAGAATTAGCTCTGTATTACCTAATTCCAATAGTCGCTAGAGTATATATTTTATGTAAACTTGAAACCGTTGTATAATGTGTCAGTTTAAACCTTAGTTCTGCAAACTGTTTGTATGTGGAAATTTCTCCATTTACAAATGTACAACTGCAGTATGCAATTGAAACTTAAACACACTAATTTCATTATTCTAGCAAACGGAACATCTACGAATTACACATTTCCTGTTTATAAGTATTAAGCATCACATTCACCTTGACTATAAAATCAAAAATTATTTACAAAGACGGTTACAAAATCGTTCCTCAATTCCTACCTTTATTGGGACAACCTGTATCACCAGCAATTTTACAACATGAAAATTATCTAAATTAACCTCTAGCCCAGAACGACTAAGGCAGAAAAGTCGAGTTTCATCTTGGTTTAGAACAACAGGAGCTCGTCCAGCCAATCTCACCTGTATTTCAACACCAGGATCCTAGATATAATATACATAGAGGGTGTCCCAATAAACATGGCCGAATTGAGTGACAATATCCATGTCGTCTTTTTAAATAATTCTTTGATTTAGTATAGTGATAACCAGAAAACTCCGACATAGGAAGATGACTATAACATAGTAATATTTGAATGTATATTTGTTGTTGTTACAAAGCAAATAGTTTTACTAGGCATTTTTAAAATCACTAATTATGTGAAATGGGTCTGTTTACATTGTACAATTGCCGTGTCCCATGCTGATTGGGCTATTTAATGTCATATTTAGAGTCTAAAAGTCGTCTTCCTAATTCAGAGTTGTCTGGTTATCACTGTATAGTGTATATAGTGATACCTTGAGAAAGCTGTAATTCGTAAGATTTTCGTCTGCTATGTTTACATTTTGTGTGTTTATTGCATACGGTTGTACTTAAAGATAGAACAAGAAAATCACAGTATACAAACAGAGTAAACTTTGCCGTCTATCACTGTACTGTGTTAATTTTGCAGAGACATTACAGACATTTTCATAAATAAACTTTATGCAGCCGTAATAATATTATGGCTTTTACAATTAGGTATTACAATGCTAATTCGTAACAAAGACGATATCGAATTCGTCACTGAATTCCCATGTTTTTTGGGACACCCAGTATCGACATCAAATTCACAAAAGAATATATAAATGTCGTCTTCCTTTTCAACAGTCTTAAATGGGATACCACTTTACAACTAAATTGTTTGTTTATTAACAACATTAAACTTTTTCATAGGAAATTTTTATGTTCATTTAAAAAAAATTATAATTAGTTATGGTGTCCCAACAAACATGGAAATTCAGTGACGAATTCGATATCGTCTTTTTAAATAATTCCTTAAGATTTAGTATATGATACCTACTGAGAAAGCTGTAATCTGTAAGAGTTTCGTCTGCTATGTTTACATTTTGTTTGTTTAATGTTTATGTTTTGACTGCTTACGGTTGTACTTAGTAAAACAAAAAAATGGCAGTATACAAACAGAGTAAACTTGTCCGCCTTCACTGTTCATCTTGCAGAGACATTATAGACACATCTTTACAGGATTTACAGTCTTTTAAACCTTTTCATAAAATAAACTCTAGCAGACATAATAATATTATGGCTTTTGGAATTAGGTATTACAATGCTAAATCATAACTTTAAGACGATATCGAATTCGTCACTGAATTCCCATGTTTTTTGGGACACACTGTGTCATGTTTTCAAAAAGCCAAGAAATGATACAAAATCAAACTGAAATTTTATTCAGTCTGTTCTTTTAAGACAGAAAAGGTTACTTGATACTCACAAAGGATAATTTCACTTTTATTTATCTGCATAGAATCGGTGTACAATCATTTTTATGTCTATTTATTTTCAAAGGGTTACCCACAAAGAATGAGACTTATAGACAGCTGTACAGAATTGTTGACCACAAACCTTTCTCCTAACCCCCCTCCCCCCTCATGTAATATTGTCTTTACCAGCCCCAAATCCAAACCAAACAATTTCTCCGACTCTACCTCGATTCTACCCCGACAAAGGAAAATTGAAACAGTATACGTCTAACTAGAAAAAATCAAATCCAACTTTGCAATCCATAGAAATTTACACTTAAAACAACCAGAGATGGAATTTAAAGAATTTGAGCCGCGGTTTAAATCTGCCAAAACCCGGTTTAAAATAAGCGCCGGCTTAAATCTTGAAACATTTGATACAATTTTAAGTGGAACCAACCATATTTAAGCCGCGGCTTAAATTTAAACCGCCGCTCAAATTCTTTAAATTCGGGCACGGGTTTGTATTTTCAGAAGTATTTCCAAATGTTTTAAACTACACCATCAAAACCTCCGAACCCTAATCTTGACACGGAAAAATAGTAAGTTATGTAATCAAACAATTAACATCATTTGTAGATCATCATTTATTTGTACTATACCTGCATTTTATTGGAGGTTTGAAATACATCTATTTACTGATTATTTGTGACTACTGTGACCGAGTTGAGGAGTCTAATCAACGAATCAACCAACCAACCAACCAACTAACCAACGAACCAATTAGCCAACTAAACAATAAACCTATCAATTAATTAACCAGACTATTAGCCTATTAATCACCGCCTATTGTTTTAAAAGAATGTATGTTTCTTAATATACATGACTCCCATGCAACTGTAAAAGCTTGTTTCTATTTTGCCAAATCATTTAATAAATCTGTAATTATAAAATATTAAAGGCATAAGTCTAAATATAACCTTGGGATCGTCGTATCTTAAGAGTTTTAGGTCGTCTTTACACTCATTCTTCCTTTGTGGGTAACCCTGTGTGAAGCCTCATAATAATTGTTACCGTATCTTTGAGCTGGGATGAAATGATGACGTCATTGTCCTTGGCTGTAAACAAACAAGACTCGTTTTCATTTATGCACATACTCCAAATGTCTTAAAAAATATATAACATAGTGATGGTTATTAACACTCGGGACACTAATTACTTCAATGGAAGGATGGTAATTAACACTCAGGACACTAAGTACTCCATCGGAGGGATGGTAATTAACACTCAGGACATTAATTGCTAACTCCCATGGAGTAATTTAGTGTCCTGAGTGTTAATTACCATTCTTTCGATGGAGTAATTTCATGCACATATTGGCGGTTTAAAAACTTTAAAATTGAAATAATTTTTACATTTTGACCGGCTACAAAAACTTATTGGGGTAGTGCTGACTTGAAAGTTACCACAAAAATTGTGCCTGATCGGTGTTATCGTCTTAATGGTTATTGGATACAAGCAAACGAGCTAAAAAAAAGATCATGATTTACATGATAATTTTCCTACTATAGATAAACATTAAGCGCCACTCTTTGTGACCTTTTCAAAATGTGGAATGCCCTTTCTGTGCTGTTTAAATTATCATAGAAACATAGAATTTCATTAAGGTTTTAATTTGTTCAATAAAAGCAAAATTGTCTAAACTTAAATCATCTAGACAAAACAATTTCTAAAAAATAATGTCCAAAAGTTTTTTCATAAAGACTTTGAGCTTAAATCTAAAGTGAATACAGTGATGGTCTAAACAAGCCGGTGTCATGTCTGGAGCGGACTCTTGCCTGCAGCGGACTCTTGCTCTACGCAGCTAAAGCTACCTGGCAAAGCACAAGCTTCTTCAAATATAAACAAATACTTTGGATTTATGGATCGGATTTGGTTCAGTCCTAATATCGGATTTGGTTCAGTCCTAATATCGGATTTTGTTTTACACCCTCTCCCCACTGCCCTATTATGCTTGTACACACAATTTCAATTTCTCAACATTAAATCAATTTTTATTTTGTATTATTCAGGGAATAATGTAAATTACTTCCAAGTCGTCTTTGACCTTAGAAATATTTTGTGGCATTCAACATTAAGGTAACCTGATTTTAACAATATTATTTTATGAAACAATAATCACGGAATATCCCAAATCCTGCCATTTACAAAATGTGGTCTGCCATTTTTTGGCCTTAAAAATACCAGAGATATTATGAATTTAGTTAAATAATTAAATAAAACCATGAAAATGTCTCATTCTGAACGAAATCATGGCAGACCACATAAGGTCAAGCCAACTTGAAAGTATCAAATCTTTTTATGATTATTCCGGCTTATTTAGAGTTTCACTGTAAAGTACGATCAATATCAGGAATTTGTTCAACTGTCGTCGATCCTACAGTGATAACCAGATAAGTCTGGAATAGGACGTCGACTTTTAGACTAAAGTTATGACTTTAAATAGTCTAATGAACATAAGGCACAACAATTGTGCAGTGTAAACAGACCCATTTCACTTAATTATTGGCTTTATAACTTACTAGTAAAGCTATTTGCTATGTAGCAACATCAAATGCACTTCTGTTATTGCTGTCATGTCGACTTCCTATTCTACAGTTTTCTGGTTATTATTGTATAACCCCCCTTTTCAAAATTCGCATCCATCCCTTTAATATTAGACTGACCTGTTCCTGTAATATGATGGGATAGCAACTCCAAATCAGGAGACCATCTGGAATTAAAACTATTTTTAACTAAATATTATTTATACAAATTTTAAACAGCATTTTTGTTATTATGTAAATTTAGCAGATATTAAGAAAATCGATTTAACCTGAAAACTTCTCCATTTTGGTTTCCTGAATACAGCTGTTTACCCTGCCACACCAATCGTCTTACGCCATTAAATCAATTTATACATATTTTATCAATTTTGATCAATTAAATTTTCTTTTATTAAGACAAAAGGGAGTTATGGATCGCTTTATATGTGAATTATGGGATTGATTATAGTTAATTAACTGTATAAAACAATTCTTAATTTATTGATTTAATTATTGATTAATTGATTTAAAACCTAACAGACGATGTGTTCTGATCTACACTATCAGATTGTAAACATAAGTCCTGAAAAAAAAATATTGTTTTTGAATCAAATTGATCAATGACCTTGAAATCCTTTTTTTTATTTCGGAGACAATATAAATAATTTTAGAAATGCCAAAAATTTATTTTTTCCATTGAACAAACAAAAATCGACAGTTAGAGATATAGTTTTAATTTTTTTTCATTCCGATACCAACTTAATATTACTTCGCGGTGATCTATGGTCGTACAGATAGAGCCGCGTCCACAGCCGAAAGGGAATCAGGTCCTTATTCCTGAACCTGGTAGCGTAACCGTTGGGAGCCTCGTATCTCTCGTGGTAATACGAACAGAAAGAATAGTAGTAAATAACGTATTGTTATTTTTACTTTTATGTTAATCATTAATTAGCATAAAGAGGTAATTTCAAGTAACTCTTCATTCAAAAGAGTGGTATATCTGATTCACAGTGGTACCCTTGAAACTTTTTAGAAGTAACAATGAGAAAGATATTGTATCTTAAAATGTGTTGAATTCTCTCAATGTTTCTGTAGCATAAATCCCTATGTTACTTCTAAATAAAAACCACAACTGAAAAAAATTTCATTTAGCCTAAATCCCTTGTAAAGGCAAACCACAAATGAAAATAATCAATTTTCGGAAAGAAAAATAAGGATATTTCAGTCATCTTAGATTAGACAAAGGTTTTAAGGGTTCCGATTCAGACTTTGTGAAGAGTCCTTTGAAACTAAGTCTTTAGACCTTTCAAGAAGAAATATAAGTTTTAAAAAAATATTACATCTGTTCCATGAACTGTTTTAACAAGGTTTGCTTTGGTTCCTCCTGTTTTCCACAGTTTAATCTCTCCATCCCCAGAACAGGAATATATATCTAAACATTACTCCTGTTTTCCACAGTTTAATCTCTCCATCCCCAGAACAGGAATATATATCTAAACATTACTCCTGTTTTCCATAGTTTAATCTCTTCATTTCCAGAACAGGAATATATATCTTGACAGATATGTAATCTCTGCCCTTTATTCCTGGTGATATTTGAATCGGAATATTGCTTAACAAAATATATATAAACAGGGTTACCCACAAAAAATGACACTTCAGAGACGAGTGTACAGAATTTAGTCTTTTTTATTATATTCATGGTTTCTTATACAATCTGTAAAATGTTTGTTTTCTTTGGTAAATCGTTTACATTAAATTACTTTATATAAGGCATAAGCCAAAATTAAACATCCATATCGTTACATTTAAAGAGCTTTAGGTCTTCATTAGAGTCTCATTCTTTGTGGGTAACCCTGTTCAATATACAAAGATATTTTAAAAGTCATTTTGAGAATAGATTCATCGGATTGACGCATGCAGTAATTTTTCTTTAACTTGCGTTTGTTTATGGAACACCCCCCCCCCCCCGCCCTGGAAAATTGGGGATTTCCCTCTACAGTTGGCTTTAATTTCTAGGAATGGATTTTTAAAAATAATAATAATAATAAAAACACCCTCCCCCCCCCCCTGGAAAATTGGGGATTTCCCTCTTCTTCAGTTGGCTTCAATTTCTAGGAATGGATTCTTAAAAATAATTTGTTTTTAGTACTCGCCTCCTGTTACTGAGTTTGCTGCTAGGTCATTTACAATATTGGTATGCGCCGTCCAACTGTACAATAAATCCAGGTTCTTCTCAAAACACTAAGTAAATAATTTAAATCAATCAATTTGTTTAATCTTCTAGGAATCTGAGGCGCAAATTTCCATCATGATCACGATTGTGGAAAACTTTTATTGAATTTTGCTAACTAAAAAAACACATTTTTCTTTGGCGCTTCGCGCAACATTTTAAATAGAATTTCCAGCTATTTTCTCTTCTAAAATCTTAAGAAAGTCATTCATACTTAATCTATCATCTTCTCAAAAGAATTAAATATATACGTGTTACTTCTAATGGGTATTTATACAAAACATGACATTTAAGGGTACAGAAAACTGACTATAGCAAGAAATTCCATATTGTGAAAGAAGAATGTCAAGAAATATAGGATTCTATCGGCCTAACAGAAATTTCGTAGACTATTAGAAAAGCCGGGTATATAGTGGGACCACAAAATGACTATACGAATTATGGACAGACGTAAGATAGTCAAATTAAGTACTTACAGGAACTACTTACTGGAGACTACACAAACTAACACTAACGGGGCTATACGTAGTATATAGTCAACAAAAAGGACTAGTGAATGAATAATAAAAAATTGCTGTAGACTGCAGTAATAGGGGACTTTACACACATAGTGAATATGATTAAGCCAGGGACTAATAGACGCTAAGAAACAAATAAAAGGATATACCATAAAATGGGGAAATAAGACACTAGAACCTCAGATTTTTCTTTTGCGCTTAAGGTTTTCTGACAAAAAATGAATTTACCTGTATACCCCCTCTATCGTCTGCCGCGTAAACTAAACCTTCCCATTCGACCAGAGCTGTGACGTCAGCAGAACCTTGACCAATCACAGCCTTGTTTACCACGCCCTGGCCACGCATATTGGACCATTCAAATTTTTACCAATCGAGGCTCTACAATATATTAAGCTTTTTTAACCATACAATTTAAGGCTAATGGCGGTCTTTAATTTCTGATATAGTATAGTTTCTCTACATGTACTTCCGCATAAAACTTCTTGATATTTTAGAAAAGGGTAAATCAAAGGATATTGTAAGTAAAGAACATGAATAACGTGAATAAGTCTACAGAGTATAGGAAAAATGTATTTACAGCATAAAAAGGAACAGATAATGTTTAATACTAATGATTTGAATAAAGTCTGAGCTCTCTGGTAGACTCTCCGCCTTTCTTCCACCTTATGACGGATTAACCTTCCTGGTTCGGGTTCTCCGTAACGACTAACTCTATTTTGGCTTTAGCCTGGCAAATAATCCCTTTTCCTGCTCCTTTGTGGATCAAGCCTGTTGGCTTGAATTCAAATAGAACTCCGGGGTAAATGGTGGCTTGGTTTTCCACACAACTAAGGTTGGATGGTTGAAATAATTCTTCTGTAACGTATATTTAGCATCTGATTGGTTGAAACATTACTTAAAACTAATTAGAATTTAATGGTATTTATAAATTTCCCATAAAACATTTTCACTAATAATGTAATAACACCCTTATTAAGGTAATTCAACGCCGTGCTCCAAAATGCAAACACAAACTTTGGGGACCACAGCATACAGAGTGTGCCAATAAACATGGGAATTCAGTGACAAATTTGATATTATCTTTGTTATGAATTAGCATTGACCTAATACCTAATTTCTAAAACCGTAATATTATTATGTTTGCTAGAGTTTATTTTATGAAAAAGTTAAGTGGCTGTAAAAATGTGTCTATAATGTCTCCGCAAGATGAATAGAGAAGACGGACAAGTTTACTCTGTTTGTATACTGCAATTTTCTTGTTTTACTTAGTACAACCGTATGCAGTCAAAACATAAACAAACAAATTGTAAACATAGTAGACCAAAATCTTACGAATTACAGCTTTCTCAGTATGTATCAATTTACACAATCAAAGAATTATTCAAAAAGACGATATCGAATTCGTCACTGAATTCCCATGATTATTGGGACACCCTGTACTTAAGAATACTTTATGTTTTTATATATGATCGAACCATTGCCATCAGTTTCTTGAAATGGAATAAGTCTTTGCCACAAACTCAAATTTTTTATATCTTTGCAATCTGATGGTGTACACCTTTGATACTTCTAACATAGTTTATTTGATCTAACTGCAGTCATAGTTTGAAATAGCTTAGGTCTACGACGTTGAGTTGCAAAGATATATGTTTGGGAAAATCAGAGTTTGTGGCAAAGTATCAATTCCTTTCTCCATAATTTTTACGATATATATTTATAATATATGTTTATGCTTTGCAAAAGATTGTGTGAAAATGTAAAATATATTTTTGTATATCTGAAATTTTGTATATATAAATGTAAAAATGTATTCACAGTGACATACTAGGCCGAGCAGCTGAGCAGAACTGGACTCAAGCCAGGTACAGTCTACAGACTACAGTCTACAGACTACAGTCTACAGTCTACAGTCTACAGTCTACAGCATACTGTCTATAAACTACAGTCTACAGTCTACAGTCTACAGTCCACAGACTACAGCCTACAGCCTACAGCCTACAGCCTACAGCCTACAGCCTACAGCCTACAGTCTACAGTCTACAGTCTACAGTCTACAGTCTACAGTCTACAGTCTACAGTCTACAGTCTACAGTCTACAGTCTACAGTCTACAGTCTAAAGTCTACAGTCTACAGTCTACAGTCTACAGACTACAGTATACAGTGTACAGTCTACAGACTACAGTCTAAAGATTATAGTCTACAGAATACAGCCAACAGTCTAAGGTCTATAGTCTATAGTATACAGTATACAGTCTACACACTTCACTCTACACCAAGGATGTAATGCAAGGAAAGTTATTTCAGAAGTGTAGAGATCTTTTATACTGCAGTGTACAGTCTCTGGGCGGTAATGCAAACACAAGACGGATGTCACAGCCTGACATGGGATCAATCTTTCACATAAAAAATCAATGAAATATTCTGGTCATAGGATACTATTATGTGAATTATCAAAATTATCAAAATTTAATTCGTTTAACCTCCTCGAATACTAAACGAACACTGATGCATCTATTTTTGTTTACATATTCCGCCTAGAGAGAACTGGTTTCAATATGTACGCAGAGTATACACGACCGCAATTAACTTTCCTTGCATTACAACACAACCTTGCTCTATACAGTCTTGTACAGTCTGAGTTTATCATAAAATTAAGTTGGGATGATAAAATTGTGTCTACAGATTTAACCATAGCTAAACGGATCTACGGAAAATTATAAGGGGGTTTGTACAGTCGTCAACGTACATATCAATGCAATGAAGACGACTTTTGATTTCAATTTTGATTTTTTACCAAGCTTTGAAACAGCATGGATATACATCAACATGGAAACAAAGAGAAGCTGTCATTAACAGCTTCTTATGTGTATACTTATTAATTATTAATTATTAGTTTAGATTAGTTATTAATATGAATGCCGATCAAATGCCGACCGCTATAGGTAGTCAGGGCCAATGTAAATATAACCTAATGTTTTTTTAAAGGTAAGTTCAACGGAAAATCGGAAAATCCAATATGTTTGATTTTGAGAGTGAAGAAAATCTACTCCTAAAATCGTTGGATAATTGCGAAACTAGTTCCTTAAACATTCATAATCGAAACCTAGTCTATTGTGTTATTGTATGAAGAGGACAACATGTCTTGTCTAAAATATTTTTCCGAAGAAAAAATTAAATTAAAAAGTTATATGGAATGTCAACGAGCACCATATTAATTACCAACAAATAAACATTTTTATGGATAAAAGTCTAGGTTCTTAATGTATATTCCATTAACAAAAATATATTATTCAAAGATGATATCAATCAATACTTCCTTTCAGTTTTCCTGAAAATTCCGTTTAATTCTAAATAAAATATCAACTTCAAAATCAAGATCATGAATATTGTACATAGAGTAATTCCAACGCAAGGGGATTTTACTTCCAAGCAATTCCGTAATAAGTGCACGCAATAAACGCAATGGAATTTCTCGTAATTGCGCAATTCCATTCAACTTATTAGCGTTCGTGGTTCAATTTTTTGAGAATATTAGATTTAAGCCTTTTGGCACGCAATAAATGCAATTATTATTGGGCGATTCCGTTCAACTTTGTTGCAGTTTTAATTTTCAAAAATTTCAACTTAAACTTTGGCTATGGAATGCAATAAACGCACAATTCTGCTGAACTTCATTAACATTGACTAACCTTTGATCCTAGAAGTGATATTTCTAAACATTTGATCTAACCCAGTCGAAAGTAGCATGATCCGTGCCGGTACGATGCATACTGTCGTATTGTACAGTCAGAAGTGAAGTTTCAACACATTTAATCCTAGAAGTGAGCTTTTTAAACCTTTGATCCTAGAAGTGAGATTTCTAAACATTTGATCCTAGAAGTGAGATTTCTAAACATTTGATCCTAGAAGTGAGATTTTTAAACCTTTGGTCCTAGTAATGAGATTTCTAAACATTTGATCCTAGAAGTGAGATTTTTAAACCTTTGATCCTAGTAGTGAAATTTCTAAACATTTGATCCTAGAAGTGAGATTTTTAACCTTTGATCCTTAAGCGAGATTTCTAAACATTTGATCCTAGAAGTGAGATTTTTAAACCTTTGATCCTTGTAGCGAGATTTCTAAACATTTGATCCTAGAAGTGAGATTTTTAAACCTTTGATCCTAGTAGTGAGATTTCTTAACATTTGATCCTAGAAGCGAGGTTTCTAAGCATTTGATCCTAGAAGTGATGGTTCTAAACCTTTGATCCTAGAAGTGAGGTTTCTAAGCATTTAATCCTAGAGGCGAGGTTTCTTAACATTTGATCCTAGAAGTGAGGTTTCTTAACATTTGATCCTAAAATTGATATTTCTTACCATTTAATCCTAGAAATTTCTGAACATAATCCAAGAAGCGAGGTTTCTAAGCATTTGATCCTAGAAGTGATTTTTCTAAACCTTTGATCCTAGAAGTAAAATTTCCATACGTTTTATTCTAAAAGTAAGGTTTCTAAATTTTAGATTTTAAGGTTTTTGAACCTTTGATAAAAAAGTAATGTTTTAATTACTTTAAACCCCTAATGAACCAAATGTTCACACGAAAATTAAACACCTTTTTAATTAAAGTGCGCTGTTGTACTAAAATGTACAAAAATATTTTGACTTTTAGAAGTCGACACTGTCCTAAAAATAGATCCATAATTTTTATAACTATCTTTGAATCCTAAAATTGATGTTTCTACAGTTAATTTAATAAGTTTTATCCAAAATACATATCTATCCATCTAACCTCTAAATTTTTCTTTAACTCTAGTTTGGTTTATATAAATAAGATAATTTAAAATTAAAAATATATAAAATTATTATGCATAAATAATTTATTCATTGATCTGAGTGTAGGATTTAACTAAGAAAACTAGGAAAATAAGTTCAATAATTCATCTTCACTTGCCGGCATCCCGGCATGCTGATGTGGATGTCCAGGATACTGGCCCTGGTGTCCAGGATGCTGACCCTGGTGACCAGGATGCACTGAATGTCCTGCATGCTGCCCACTAGGGTGTCCAGCATGCGGCACTTGACTTTGTTGTCCTTGAAGGCCTTGTTGATGTCCTGGATGGAGCTGGCCTGAGCTTTGTTGGGCGGAAGAATGTTGCCCCGGCGGATGCTTTGAGGCAGAAGGATGTTGACCGGCTTTTGTCGCCGGCGGAGAAATATTTTCAAATAAATCTGAAACAAAAATTCAATCAAACCGTGTTTGAAATAAAAAATAAAATTTGTTTCAAATAAAAATTAACATTGTTGGTTTTCAATGTTCACTCTTCAAACTTACTGAAATCTAGATTTTTTAAACATTTAATAAAAATTAAATTTCAAACAAAGGGAGAAGATGTTTATTAAAACAAGAAAATAAATTTTCTCGATAATAAAAATCATTATTTATTATCTATTATAAAAAAATACCATGAATAGCAGTTAAAAGTATAAGAAGATTTTTAATTTTTAAAGTCATCCAGTGGGAAAAAAATAAAACTTTGGAATAGAAAGACGACTGTTAGAATTAAGTTTTGATATAGAATATTCCCATGAACATGAAATATACACGTCTTTCTATTCTGCAGTTTTATGAGTCCCACTGTAAGACCATTTTGATATGAAAGAATTAACTCACCAAGATTGAAATCTTCTCTCCCTGATGGATTATGTGTGGCTGGTGACATATTAGGATGTGGGGACATGTTGGGGTGGGGGGACATGTGAGCCTGTGACATTGGAGAGGGAGCCATGTGAGGGGAGGGAGGGATCATATTGTGTGGTGAGGGGGCGGGGTGAGGAGAATGAGGTACGGAATTCATCGGTGAGTTTCTTTGTTGGGCTCCCATATGATGAGAGGGCATTGAATGCTGGCCCCCACCCATCCCTTGCATGTGCTGCCCCATGGACTGACCCTGAGGTCCCATAGGTCCAGGGCCATGTCCCATTTGTCCTGGTCCCATCTGCTGTCCTGGGCCCATCTGTTGCCCTGAGCCAACTAGTGATCCGGGGCCAGATTTAGAACCTGGTCCCATTTGTTGTCCACCGGGTCCCATTTGTGGTCCTCCAGGTCCCATTTGAGAACCTCCAGGTCCCATTTGACCACCAGGTCCCATTTGTCCGCCGGGTCCCATTTTAGGTCCTGGTCCCATATTTTGTCCTGGTCCTGATCCTGGACCCGGTCCTACTGTCTGGGGTCCCATGGGTCTCTGACCGGGCATACCGGTCATTCCTTGCATTCCGGGCATACGCATACCTCCCATACTCATCTACACAAACAAAAATTAATAACGTGTGTAATCAAATATTTGTTTAATCTAAATTTTTAGGTTTATTATTACTGGGGAAGTTAGTTCCAAAACGCGAATAGATCTGTTCCTAATACTGAGTGTTAAAAATGGGCGAAATCTGCAAAGATATCATTTTCAAGTGTAACATCTTTAAATCCAAGAGAGTTCAACAAAAATACGACATACATTAAAAATGGCTAATACTAAAAATTGAAACAAGAAATTTCAACTAAACTATTTATTTAAGTGTGAGACAAGTTTTTTATGATTCTTGTTTATATTTTCGAACATATCCCTGTTATATAACAATTATCGCAATTCAGCTGATATAGCGTTTCATTTTGACTACTGAGACAATTACTTGAATTCAAAGCACTGTCAATTTTAAAGCATTTACGCTCTTTCATAACAAACCAAGTTTTGTTATCAGGTAAAATCTAAACTAAATAGAAAATAAAACATATCGTTCTTATATAATTTAAAAATCATTATTATCAATTATAATAATAGACAATTAACTAAAATGCTGGAAATTGTTTGTTTAAAATGCTGGACAATAACAATAACAAATAAAATGTGAAAACTTGGATTTTTGAAACATTTCGGCAGTATATTCCCAGCTTCTTTATTAGATAATTTTTGTTTCAGTGATTTATTTTGTAAATAAAGTTATGAAAGTGAGTTTTTGTTTTGAATTGCGGATTTTACTTAAAAACGGTAAAATGGGTTTTGTCTCGAAAACGCGACAATGATGCCAATTTATGAAATGTTCGAAAATGGTTGTCTTGAAAACGGTCAAAGGTTGTAAATGTAAATATTAAGAAGTTATTATAAAGATTTTAATTTCAAAAATAAAATAGTTTAAAGTGTTAGTTACAGTTTTACTGACGACTTTTACTCTGGATCCTAAAAACCCAGTCTTTTTTTAATAATCCGGACAAGAGTACAATTTTATTCTGGAATTAAATTAATTCTTAATATCTTTTCTAGATTATTTAAAAGTTATTTTAAGTTTATGTTTAGAAATCCAGCAAAAATCTTTTTTTTGGTTTAAGTTAACAAATTATGCAAATAAAATTGTAATAATCAAAAACAAAGACATTAAAATGTAGTGATTTATAAAATACTAGCTGAATAATTATTTAAGGTTAAGTCCTTATTAAAAGTAATTTAAAATATTTAAAAAAAATAGATTTTACCTGTCCACCCATTTGGCTTGGCATACTAGTTGGGAAGGCAGGGTTGGGAGAATAGGACGGATTGGGAGAGTAGGAGGCATGGTTGGGAGAGTAGGAAGCAGGGTTGGGACTAAAGGAGGCAGGGTTGGGAGAGAATGAAGATGGGTTGGGGGAGAAGGAAGCAGGAGTTGGGTTTCTCACGTTATGCCGCTGTATCATCGGAGGGTCACCTACAAATATTCTTATTATTCACTCTTCTTCATTTTTACTAAAGGTAATGGTGATCTTAAAAATCAGTTGAAGATATTTAGACAAGCAAGCAAATATCAAAATTATTCTCTTTCAGGAGAACGACTGGAGTTTTAGTCTTTTGAAATTTGCTGAACTAAAAATAATTTACAATTCCTTTCCAATATTAAATATTAAACAATTTTTGTTGTTTCATAAACAATTTTCTCTTGATAATTGATCTTAATGTTTCTTATCATTATCTCTCTCTATTTCTCTTCATAATTGATCTTAATGTTTCTTATTATTTTCTCTCTCTATTTCTCTCTAATTTTCATATTTTCTGGAGAGCTCTTCAAATCTCTTAATGTACTCTTTTATTAATCTTTTAAATCTTTTTTATTTATTCTGAATTACTTCTTATTTCATATTTATTTTTTAATCTTTCATCATTCGATCTTAACCATATCAATCTTAATTTTAATTCGCCTACTTCAACCCTGCTCAGCGTTTATTTTATATCTATTAATATTTTTAAATTACTTTTTATGCATAGAACTTATCGAATACCTATTCAAATATCTTTAAACCAAAGGTAGCATTAAATAAATCAAAACATGAAATCAAGTAAAGAAAAATAAGAAATAACTTGGAATTCCTGCTTTTGTAAAAGTTTTTAAAAATTCAATTTTATACTTATTTATAACGAATCCGGATCTGAATCAAATTGGCATTGGCATAAATCCTGAGCATATTAAATCAAAGCAAACCCAAATATACAAAATAATTTGACCTCAAACTATAATTTTATCGACAAATTAATGATTTGATAAAGAAATGAAACAAATGTCTGATACATGAAATCAGTACAGTCGTCTTTAAAGCCACTTTAATGAGCCCTCAGTATCTAATCCGAAATATTTTATTAACTAGCTTGAAAACCCAGCTTTGCCTGGAAACAAAACTTTCTATATCAAAGTCAAGCCACTCAATTAAGAATTTTAAAACCAAGCTCTCCAAAATTTCCAAACTAAAATTTGAGGCAAATCGGTAAAGGGGTTGATATATTATATGTACCTGGAAGTCCTGGAGATCCTCGCCTAGCTTCCATTGGCATGTTTGGATGTATGCTACCTATTGTTGGCATTCTGGTCGGCATGCCCTCTCCCTGGAGACCAGGGCTCTGCCTATGCATGCTGCCTGGACTGCCTATTTGTTGACCCTGCCAGCTTCCATTGCTTCCATTGCTAGTTGGTCCACTTCCACCAGATCCAACCATTCCAGGGTTCATTCCCATTCCCATATTAATCCCTCCCTTCATTCCACTCATCATCATCATGTTAGGGGTCATTCCTCCACCCATTTGAGAAGGATGGGTAGGTCCACCCATTTGGGGATGGTTGGGCCCGCCCATTTGAGAGGGATGGGTAGGCCCCCCCATTTGAGACGGATGGTTAGGCCCGCCCATTTGAGAGGGGTGGTTGGGCCCACCCATTTGGGAAGGATGGTTGGGTCCACCCATTTGAGAGGGATGGGATGGTCCGCCCATTTGAGAAGGATGAGATGGTCCGCCCATTTGAGAGGGATGGTTGGGCCCGCCCATTTGAGAGGGGTGGTTGGGCCCACCCATTTGAGATGGATGGGATGGTCCGCTCATTTGGGAGGGATGAGATTGCCCTCCCATTTGAGAAGGGTGATTTGGGCCACCCATTTGTGATGGATGAGAAGGTCCACCCATCTGAGAGGGATGTGAAGCCCCACTCATCTGTGAGGGGTGGGCGGGTCCGCGCATTCTCTCTCCCATAGGGGCCTGAAACAAAAATGATTCAAGAAAACTGTAGAAAATTTCGATTAAAAAAAACTATTTTCATTGATAATTAGGCGGGAAAACAGTTCCCCAAAATGCAGTAAAATTATACGAGCCTATTGCAGTTTTATGTTAATTAAACAATATGGTATTTTTCACATGCAACGAACCTTCTGTTTTGTAATGAAGATTTTAGATGCATTTTTATTGCAGATAAAGCTGATGAATTAAACAAAATTTAGATATGGAGAAAAGAGAAGAAATTGAACAATAATTGAGAAGGGGTGGGGGGGGGGGGGTTAAAAATTAGGAAAGATTGGATAAATCCGGGGGCACATAGTTGCAGAAAAATGTGAAAAGTTGTCTTAACTTTAAAAACTAGATCGACCTTTGATTTTACTAAACTCATTTATACTATTTTGTAACCCTAATCTAATTTAATCTAATTTATCTAATCTAATTTAATTTAATTCAATTTAATTTAAAGGGAATCGCTGGGGGTGTTCTGGCCCTCTAGATATGTCCTTTTAGAGTTATAAAATTTGTATTCAAATTTTTAGTTTTCGAAACATATTTAGGGGTGGAGTAAAGATGATCACCTCCACCTGATGCCTCATCATAGGTCCAGAAGGAGGTATTTGCTGCATTCCTGGGTTCCGTACACTACCAGACACGCTGCGGTTAGGAGCAACCATTCCAGGGGCCATTCCTCCAGGGACCATACCCCGCATATGGGGGCCCTGGCCCATAGGCATCTGGCTCATCATATAAGGCATATTCTGCGACTAAAAACATATTCTATAATTTAATATTTACCATTTAAAAGTATTTTCAGGGTAAATAAAAGTTTTTTAAAAATTGATAAGCTATTCACACAACGGTATCCTTAAATTCCATCTTCTTAAATAGGTTCAAATGTTACCGCTGCGAATCGTCGATGTTACATTTCAATTGAAAAACTTTCGTAATATCAGACAAATCTTTTTATATACAGGGTGTACCACGGAACATGACAGTGGCAAGACGACTTGAAGTTCGTCTAAAGAGTTAATAATAACATGATAACCTTCATCCTGCCATTTTAGTGCTTTCAGTGTTACCAGAGTTATGAAGGGTTTTCTTCAAATTTTGACAATTTTAGTTAATTTTTAAACAGAAATCTGAACGAAATTCTTTATAATTCTGGTAATATTGACAACAGAAACTAGCAGACCACATTTTGGGAATACCAGGACTAGGAGAATTTTGTGACAATTGTTTTAAGAATCATACATGTAAAAATGCCACAAATAGTTTCAAGATCTAAGACGACCTTCAAGTCAAATTCCTACTGTCATGTTTAGTGGGACACTCTGTATATAAAAATATATTATTCACAGAAGAATTTTTTTTCAAATCTATAAAAATCTTATTTTAAATAAAAGTTCGTTCACCTGTGAAGTCATTCCATACTCCGGAGGAGGAGGTCTTGAACCCATGCCATGCTGCATTTGAGGATGCTGCATCATTCCTCCCATTCCCGGCATCATCCCGCCACCAGGACCCATCATCCCGCCCATCCCAGGGGTCCGGGACATTCCCATAGAGGGACCGTTAGCCCGCATCATCATTCCGTTGGGTCCCATCATCTCCATGCTGGACCCGTTCGGCATCATCGGCATCCCGGGGTCCATCCCTCGCATCATGCTTTGCTGCTGCTGCATCCGCATCCGCATCATAGCCATCTGCTGAGGGGTCATTCCAGGTCGCATTCCTCCCATCTTAATTGGAGAAAACAATTAAATAAAACATAAATCATGCAAAAGTTATCCCCACAAACTTAAATTTTGTATTCCTTATATCTTTGAAACCTGATGTAAACCTTTGATATTTTAAACAATGTTAAACATTCAAAGTATATATAAAAGATTTACTTACATCATCAGTTTTAAAAATATAGGGATAAGAAAATTCGAGTTTGTGGCAAAAAGTAAGTTCCTTTAATATTTTTTTAGCAAAATTGTTTAAATCTTTTGTGAAAAAGTGAAAACCCCTAATTTTAAAAAATTCATGTTTTGAAAAAATTGTGATTTCAAATAATGAAGTTACATGTAAAATAAATTCAAAATAAAATAATGTATGAAATTAAATATTTTTTTGATGATTTAGATCTTGATTTGGACCGACATTTTTTTCTGACATGACGGAAAGAGAATAGAAAATAAACGGAAAACATGCAATGTAAAAAAAACTTCAAATAAATACAAATTTTGGACTGAAAATTTTGAATAAAAAATGGAAGATTCTGGAAATTGAAAATCGAGAACATTGAAGAAAAAAACAACAGTACATTCCCACAAAAATCTTTTTTAAAAAGGTCCTTAGAATAGACAATCTCGGAGAATGCTTCTTTTGGAAGGGGGGGGGGGTGGATGTAGGTTTTGGTAAATATATTCCCCTCTGCTTTAATACCTGCTGTTGTCCCATCATGCTCATGCCAGGTCCCATCCCTGGGTTAGGTCCTCCTCCCATCATCATGTTGGGATTACTCCTCTGCATCATCTCCATCCTCTGCTGATCAGTTAGAGGCTGTCCTCCACCCTGCATAGAGGCTGATACAGCCATGTTGGACCCTGCTCCAGGTATAGAGTTAGCTACGCTCATTGGGTTGCCTAATCTGAACCTTTGCTGCACTGCTGCCCTGAGACGAGGATCTCCGTCCTGCATCCTAGGTCTGATCATCATACCCGGGCTCGGAGCCATGGTGGTGTTCATCCCTGAGGTAGGGCAAGCTCTTGGGTCCATGGCACTATTAGGGACGGTATAGTTTCTATCACTGTACATCTGGCCAGGGTACTGGCCTGGCATGGAACTGGGGGGTCCTTCCATGCCCATATTTGGTTGTTGATGCTGCTGCGCCATCATTTTCAGAGCCTCAGCAGCATTAGGTTGTTGGGCAGTGTTGGAACCGTTGGACACTCCTGGCATCATTGACATTGAAGACACAGGGTTGGATTGGCTTGTAGGAGGGGTATGGCACTGGTTTTGAGAGCTAGGAACAGTTTCAGGAGCTTCCTGCACCTTCTCCTCCCCTTCTACATCCTCTCCATTCTTATTATCATCAAAATCTAGGGTTTCGTAAAAATTTTTGTCAAATTCTGGAAGGTCATCCATGAGGTCTTGGAAAGCATCAGTGTTCATACCGTCAAATCCATCGAAATCTTTTAGGTCTAAATCACCCAACGTATCTTCTTGTTTTAAAGAGTCTACTTCGGATTTAATTTTACTATCTGCTTCCTCGTGAATGGATTGACTATTACCAAACTCTAAACTTGTATCTTCAGTCTTAATGTTTAAGTTGGGTTTAACGTCTGTACAAGATTCAGAATTATTAGTAGCACTATTATTAGATGAAGAATTATTATTTTGCACTGAATTGCTTGAAAAAGCTGCGGCACCAGGTTGACATTTTGATTCTACGGGACTTGGTTCCCGTTTTACAGAGTTGTGGGAACCCAGGGAACCCTCACTAGAAATACCATTATCTAAATTTAGTCTTTTGGCAGTGTCAGGAGTATTTTTGGTATCCTCGTCCAGTGGCCGTTTTTGGGGCATAGAGGAGTGGTGCATCATATGCGGTTGAGATCCGGCATGATTCATGGCATGCCCCGGATGCCCAGGTCCTAGTCCAGGGTGTCCCTGGGGACCCGGTTGTCCAAGGCTAGAACTGTTATGAGCGTGAAATTGCATCATTCCATTCATATTGTTCATAGCATTTATTTCCTGCTTAACTTTCTCTGAACTAGAACTTGACTTTTTACTCGGCTTCTTAGCTTTAGATTCTAGAAATTTTTGACGCAACACTTTCGTTTCTTGTAATTGTTGAGTATTAACTTGGTTCATCGTCTGATCGTATTGGGGTAGACGAGTGTTCTGCATATCTCGATAATTTTCCATTCGTCTCTTAAGTCTATCCAGGGCTCCTTGTTTGGGTGCGGGGGGAGCAGATAGGGCATCCTTAGTACTTGATGGGGGCAATACATCACTCAGAGTAGACATATTATAAAATCTAGACCAAACCTAGCTCTATCGCGAGCACAGCGAGTTTCGGATTCACATTGAGAACTGGTGTCACATTTCTGGTCGTCGGAGGAATTGTTTACAATAAAGTTGGTAGAGTCGGATAGCTGGTGAATACTAACGGTTCTAGGGTATAGAAAAGTCAAGCACATAGCTAATTCGTCGTTAGAAATACTTTTCTGTCGTTTACACGCATATTCTAACATGATTTCATACTTGGTTTATGAAGAAAATTCAACAAGTAAGTTTGTTGCTTTGTTTCGAAGACGAGTTGGGTTCACTAGGGTTTATATAAAAACTATAGTTAAAATACTGAAACTAAGGAATACTGGGGTTTAATGGTTTAACAAATATCCTTTAATCTTGAATAATATCACTAGTTATTCACTTGGGACCAGTTCAATACAACCCTTTTCCTCTAAAATCCAAGATTTTTCATGTTTTTGTTGAAAGACTGGCCGAGATATCACCAGTAAACCTGGGACTTTTCCAGCTATCTGGCTTTCTCAGCGTTTGTCTGGTGTTTGCGGCACACATTTACCAGACGGCCGCGCCAATCTTTTCCTAATTTGTCGGAGCTGCTAGCTAACACTAGGCGGCAGAACCGGGTAGGGTGGAGGGTAGAGCTGCTAGCTATAGGGTTGGGACACACTTTCCTACCTTACAATATAACTAACACAGATGCTCAACTCTCAAACTCAGGTTGATGATTTGAGAATCAGAGTCCAAACATAGACACAGAACATTCCAAACAGAGTCTGAAATATGTTTTGTGGATTTCCTGGATCAATTATACAGATATATATATATATATATATTTCAATGTTTGTTTACAAATATCAGGGATAACAAAATAAAGATAAATGTTTTGAAACAAAAACATATCTGTAAACATTTAGATATATCTAAAATCTGTTCATGTGCAGGTTATAAATAGTAATTTCAAAATGTTGTTCTTTTTAATGTATATTTTAAAAATACAATAAAGATGTACCATACGCACGTTTTAACTCTTTTTTACACTTTTTGTTTTGAATTATCATTATTATTATTATTATTATTATTATTATTGTTGTTGTTGTTGTTATTATTATTATTATTATTATTATTATTATTATTATTATTATTATTACTACTATTATTATTATTATGACTGTTTTTATTTTTACTACTTTATAATTGTTTTTGGTATATAAACATTAAGATTTAAGATAGTTTTGCTTTGTCAAGCTCAATTGAATTAAGGTTTAACTCTGAAGAGATTATTGATTTTTATTTTTGTTATAATTATAGCTATAATTATGGCATGTTTATGTAAATTAATTAAAATATTTGTGATTTTCTGAACTGATTCGTGAGATATAAAAAGAAATTTTTTTTTTAATTTGAATGTTTTCACGTTTAGTTCTACATAAAATCTCTGTCCAACTTTTGTAAATTGTAAGCCAATTAAAAGTTGTTTAGACTATACTATCTTTTATTTTGATAATGGAAATTTATCTTCAAGTTTTGTAGATTTTTACAACAACAAATAATAATGTCTTTCCTGGACAAAAGTTAAAAGGAACTTGAAAGGTTTGCTGTTTTTCCGAACTCTGTGATGGTTCAGTGGCAAGCTCTGTCTATCTATCTATCTGACTGTATTATATCTATCTATCTATCTAAACTGGTGCTAATATATCTATCTATCTGTACTGAGACTATCTATCTATTAGCTCTGGAATCTGTCTATATTGTATACACTGCTCGTGTCTATAAGAAAGGGGGGTAGGTCGCCCACAGGTGACAAATATTAAGATTTGACCTGGGGGGGGAGGGGTTTAATGCCCGGGTTGACCCCCCCCCACACCCCCAGCACGGAAAGGGTTATTAATTTGAACTCTGAATGTCGCTGTAAACTGTGCGGTCGCTTAAACATTAAAAATCCGTTGAATAGGAGACGTTACAGAACACCAAGGGGGGTTTAATATATATATATATTTATATATCTATCTGCGCCATTTTCTCTCTATTCTCTAATTCAACGTCAGACAATCTCTCTCAATTAGTCTCTCATTCTTAACATCACGTAGATTTAGAAATTATTTATTTACATTAAACTCACATACAGTAAGTTTTTACCATGGGATTCATTGCTTTTTAATAAGGACACGCACACATGCGTTGATAGCTGTGGGGGGGGGGGTCAAGGGGTATAAGACCCTACTTTTTTCACGAGTTTCTTTTTACTTCCCCCCCTCCCCTTTCTAGAGACTAATTTAAAACTTTACTGTAACTGTTTTCCCGCAGATCTTGAACATATCTTATATTTTGATCAAATCAGCCTATTCTCCGGGGCACAAAGGACCTTTACATTTTTTAAATGTGTAAATATAATTTTTGTTTTGTGTTTTCACAGAGGGTCAATCATTTTGTAATTTATTGATCAATAATGATAGTTTTACGCTGTAAGTTTACTTTGATTTCAGCATTGAAACACATTATAGTTTTTATCAAGGTATGTATATTATAGTACATTATAGTTTATAGTTTATAGTGCATATGTACATTATAGTTTTTAGCAAGGTATTCTGTAGAATATACCCTGATTTTTAGTAACAATTTAGCAACACCCCAAACTTGTATTCAACTTGGAATTCTAATTGGCATGTTTAAAAATGCAATTTTTACAAAAATAAGAAATAGCTGAATGAAAAGGGTTGTATAATGATAAAAATGTAAAAAAAAATCAGATATTCAATACATGGGTATTTTTGAAACTGTTTTCCCGAATTCAAATCAAGTTACTGAATATAAAAATATTGAAAATTGACTGATTTAAAGCAAAAAACCAAACATTTTTTGAGTACCAAAAAATTTAGATAGAGAATAAAGTTTTTTTACCATAGCTTGCCCAATTTTTAATATTTTTGTAAATTGTTTTTAACTCCAATTTTCACGTAGATTTTATTGATATGGATTGACCCATAACAATATGGTTTTAAAAATTTGATTTTCACATATACCTATCTAGTGATTTTTTTTACATTTTTTTATCTTTAAACCTAATTTTGAGGGAGTCATTTTTGATTTTTGTAAAAGATGCAATTAAAAATTATGCCTATAAATTCTAAGTAGAATACAATTTTGCATCTGAAAAATGATTTAAGAAATATTTCACAAAATTTCACACCCTAAATCCTAATCTATAGTATTTCATATAAAAGTTTTTTCTAAAATAAGATATCCTCGATATCCTCGATAGCCTCGGCCTAATTTACTTCTTATTCTTTTATATCAATATAATTGTCTTGCCTTGCACTTAAAATACTCACTCTCAAATCCTTAAAAAAAATTTCGGGAAGCTCCCTACAGTCAACGAGTGTGTGTTCACACCCTTTGTTAATGATGAATGTCAAAGTCTACAAAAGTCAACGAGTATGGGTTTACGCCCTTTGCTAAAGGTAGATGTCAAGTCTACTACAGTCAATGAGAATACATTTCTACTTTTGTTGAATCAATATGTATTCATAAGTTCAATGAATGCATTCCTGAAAATGTTTTGATTATTTGACTGCTGACTAATGATCTACTCGTAAATGCACAATGAATGTATATTCAGTTGAGATTTCAATATGTACACTTTGTTTCAACAAAAACTATCAAACAAAATTATCAAACATTATATTTTGAATTGGCTCCTAATAAAGTTTCTTTTGTGTTTTATTTTAAGCTGAACCATCATACATTATTATTTTGTATTTTGTGTTTGAAAATAAATACTATAACTATAACTATATATTAGAAGGGAATTTACTAGAAAAAAGTGTAAAACGTCCATTTTGTTGTACTGTTTCCATACTGCAGGTGTACTTCACATATTTATGCTATATAACCTTTTGGGCCCTGGAATATCATTTTATTGAAAATCTAAAATTAATGATAAAAGAAAACCAAATTATGAAATAGGCTGGTTTCATAATTGACCAATGATCATCATTTCACATAGACTCTATGCCTTTCACTTTACAAACGATGATTTTCCGTTATAACTATAAATCAAATGATGTTTTTTATTCACCTAATTCATTATAAAGTTTATTTAACAGCTTTAAAAAACTTGAAATTGAAATGGATAGTCTAAGGAACATACTGTATATATGCATATAATTTGTAAACATTTGCATGATTTGTACACTTTGAACTCCCTTTCAGGCTGAAAGGGACTGAAAAAATTCATACCGAGAGATTCTCTAAATTCCCCTCTAATATATATTCTATTCTCTATGGCTCCCTCGGGGCCTCCCACCCCCCATTCCAGTTTTATTGGGTATTGACCGTCTGCAAAGCATAGGGACTGGCTTTATCATGCCATGGACCAATGCCATTTCCATTCCCTTTATTGCCAGTTACTGGTTCCTCCCCCTCCCTTTCAAAGAGCTGGATCTCCCTCTGCATGCACAATATTTTAAGACCTCGAACAATATCAGGAGGTGGAGTGGTTGTTTAATTAAAACCAGTCAAATTAAAGTACATTTCAAATTAAATTGAAACCTTTCATTTCTTAAAAATCATAACTCCTCTTCAAACAATAAAATTTTAAATTGAGAATGAGTAATGGTGTTGGTCCATTAAACCGGAAATAGCAGTAAATCTTGTGAGGAAATTTTTAAGAGGGTCAGAATAGCTCCGACAAAGGAACTATATACAGGAACGCCCAACTAAGATATACACAAATTGTGTACTGTACTCTGTGGGAGGAATGTATGGTTGTTTTTTATACTCCATCATAGGTTGTTTTTTATACTCCATCATAGGCTGTTTTGATACTCCATCATAGGCTGTTTTTGATACTCCATCATATGCTATAAAGAACAATAATGTTTTGAATTTCTAATATTTAACCGAATAAATTTGCTATTTTCATACTCGTGTGTACAATCAAAACCAGAGTAGTTACGAGGTCATAAAGTCGTACCATTAATATTGCATAACTTTGACGTTCTCCTTCTGTCTATTTTGAAGTGAGTAATTTAGAAAAATTATGTGGATGGATGTTAGACATTCACAATTAAATTCACGTAGAGGTTTAAAAGCATAACTCCTGTTATTGAAGAGTTATGGACAAGATCAATTGTTTTTAATTTCTATTATCTTATCTTATCTTATCTTATCTTATCTTATTATGTAACCAAATAAAAAATCAAAAAAGACAGTACACTGTATTTACACCTGCACATGTAGTACTGAGTACACTGATAATACACAGGAAGAGAAAACACGTTCCTCTGCCACTTTGGTGAATGTCATTTTAATTCAAATAGAAGTAGCCTGAAGTCAGACTGTATGACCAGGCGGGACAGTCCAAACCAGGACCGCAAAGGTTGACCTTGCTCTTATATTTAAATGTACACCGGTTGTGAGTTAAAAGGTTCTTTGCTATGGAAGTATTACTTGAAAATAATCTTTTTAAAGAGTTTTTGGGAATTTAATCATCTAGTCCATAATATTTTTTATGAAAAATTTGTTCTAAACTTATTTAAGAATTCGGAAAAATAATCTTCAACTGAATATTTTGCAGACAAATTTAGAAAAATTTAGATTAATCGTTAACTCTTGTCTGTAATGAGGAATTAATGAACAGCAAGAACGGCTCAGTGTCATCATGCCTAGTTCGTGAATGCATATATATTATTAACTAGACATTCA